AGTTGGGAGTTCGATTCCCCCATGGTGCCTCCTTGACAGGGGCTGGACTTGATGATCCATAGGGTCCTTTCCAGCTCTGCAATTCAAAGGTGGTTGTTTTCGGTGTTAAAATTTACAGCATTTGACAAGAATGTTTTCCTCTTCTTTCCTTCTTTTATTTTAGTAGTGCCATCAAGCCCAACCATGGCCTCTTCCACGAGTCTCCCCTCTAACTGTAGCAGCTCCTCTGGGATCTTCTCCTTCTCACCAGCCAACATGGTCTCAGCGGTGAAGCAGAAGAGTGCTTTTGCCCCAGTTGTTAGACCGCAGACTTCCCCTCCCCCCACGTGTACCAGCACCAATGGGAATAGCCTGCAAGGTTGGTCAAATCCTGTCACATTACTCTTTTACATTCACCTTTTCTAGGGTTGCTCTTTTTCTCTTTCTTTCTTTCTTTTTACTTTACTTTTCCTTTCTTGCACCTTATCAGAAAGGTGCTGGACCTTCAGTGGTTGGTCATGTGGTAGTAAGGCCTACCATTTCCTTGTTTCACAGATACCATTCTTCCCTTGCCTGCTCAGTCTGCTTGCTCTTATAGCCTTGTTGAAGTGAGATGCGTGTCTTTAAAGCATGGTCTGAGTGTTTTCTTAAAATGAGTGATATCGCAGCTTACTAACACCAGCTTCTCTCTCTCTCTTTTTTTTCTCTTTCTTATTCCTTGTTGTTGTCTTTTATCAGACCAGTCTTTTGTGGACTCTAGCAAGTACTCCACTGCAGGGTCACTCCAGGGTCTGGCCTTCTCCTGAAGTACGTCAGTCAATCTTCCCTTGTTTTTTGTTTTGTTTTTGTTTCCGGTTTTCCTTTGTCATGTCCGCATGTGCAAAGTATTTATTAACACCAGAAATATCTGTGGGTTTTGCCCTGAAAACTAGACCATAGCAAAGCTTGATTTGCACATGATACTGTATACTAAATACATATGGTCATACATACATACATATAAATATAGATATGGTATTCTCTACATTTTTAAAACAATTCCCCATCTTCTGATGGGAACAAGATCAATTGTTTGTGGTAGATGTAATGCATGTGAATTAATTTATTCTGCAAAGTGGACAGTGTCTCCTGGAAAATCTCATCAGCCATCAGCAATCTTCATTTCTACTGCATTTCCCTAGATGTCAACAAATGCTTCTCCAAATTCTGGACTTCCTTTAATTCTCATATAAACTGAAATCCTGTTTGTGTAAGTTCTGTGGCATAAGACTGATGATGCCATCAGCCAGGGCAGTTGTTTGCAAATTGAATATTTTCTCTTCCTATAATTTACAAGTCACGAGTAATCTCTTTCCTTGTTGAAAATTGATAGGGGCCGAGGAATAAGAAGTCTTTAATTCCTGAAAATCACTGGCAGCAGTAAAGTCACCCCAAAAGTGGTGATTTTCCATAATTAACGTAATCAAACTTATGCTGCGGAACTTACATCAACAGGATTTCAGCCATTGAATGGGTGAAATATATGCATGGGTATGAAATATCCTCATGGGTTTTAATGGCTCTATTTTTATTTTTGTTTTCTAGTCTACGTGTCGTGACCCACCCAGAGTAGTGCTGTGATACTAATGGTAGTCAGTGGAACTGAATGAATGAATGAAAAAACAAACAAACAAATATTTCCAATCAATGTATCTTAAGGCCACCTTTCCACACTCAGTAGTGCAAGGAAGTCTACACCATGATACCATTTCACTCTCGTGTTCCAATATCATCTGAAGAGTGCTTTGGTCTCATGTTGCTTTTCATGAAATCCACCAGTTCCAAAATGGGAAGACATCCCCTAAAAGGAACCAGTGAGTCATGGAATAGCACTGTTACAGCAAGATCTGGATGGGGCTCTTTGCTCAAGTAGACAACTGTTTAATCTTCTGAACAGCAAATTAGATCTGCTGTCATCTGTTACAACTTAATTTTCTTTGCTATGTTTAAACACAGGCAAGCTGGGTAAATGAGAAAAGGTAAGGTGGGTTCAACAAAGCCAATTCATGATGTGGGTGATAATGCCTCCTACTTGAACCCCATACAGCTTATGAGATTCAGATAGGTTTTGATAGTTTTACTGAACATTTCTATCAGGCCATAAGAGAGTGGTCTCAGATCTCTGTCAGATCTGTTCTCCTTTTCCTGTGGACATGTGGTGTCAGGTTTCTCATTCGTATGATTCTCTTACATATCACGACCATCATGTGGAAAGATCAATCATTTAGAATTACCACCGAAATGCTCAGTATATATTTTCCAAGGATACAAGGAGGATATTTATGCAAGTTGCAAGATTAGCCACAGAAAGGCATGTAAGGACTAAACTACAACTTTCACAGTGTCCACTTGCTGAGATTCTTACACGAACAATATATCTGGTTGGAAAAGGTTGCAACAGATGGTCAGGAGAGATATCTTAGTGGTTTATAGCAACATATCAATTCTGCCCCTGATTATAGAAATAATAGTACATTTACATAGATTGCACCTAATCATGTAACCTCTTGCTGAGGTTTTTTCCCCCCTAAAAATTAATTTTAGCAGAATGAATCCCTTCACCTCATGCTGTCACAGATCCAACACCAGACATTTCCCACTGAAGTTATCTTTTGTTCAAAGGGTGTTGTTGGTGGTGTTTATTTACATGCTGTAGCAGCATCATGAGAAACTACATGGTGTAAATTTAGAAAAATTCAAATTCAAAGGCAATTAAGGAAAAAATTAATATCAGTTGCTGAATTTCAGAGACGCGTAAGCTTAGGTCACTCAAGAACTTGGTCTAACCCAGAGAAATTTAAAACTTAAAAAACTTAGAATTGCTGCCCCCAACCCTCCTGTATCACACACAGATTTTGTTATTGCTTAAAATTTATTACTTAAACTGTTATCCTTTGCATCAAAGCTGGATTTCTAGATATCCAAATTTTAAGCCACTGAACATAAGAAGCCCTGGTGGATCAGGCCAAGGGCCCATCTAATCCAGCTCCCTGTATCTCACAGTGGCCCCACCAGTTGCCTCTGGGAGCATACGAGACAACTAGATCCCTCTATCCTGATAACCGTCCCCTGCATCTGGCATTTTGAATTACCTTTGTGGGCACACAATGATATAGGAGCCCATGAACAGAGTAATTTATCCTTCCTGAAATGAAACCTACCTTTGCTGCACCAAGAAATATTCTGATTGGGTAGCAGGTTTGCAAATCTTTCTTTCCCATGGAAAGAACAGGCAGCCCAACTAGCATGGTAACTCCAGTTGTTCATGCAAGGCACATCAGTGGCGCAAATCTACATTAGGTGATGCTGCTATCTGTGCTTTTGATCAGGGAACATATTCCACATACTTATAACCATCATGCTTTCATGCTATACAGCAGTGGTTTTAGATCTGCTTTGCAAAACTGTGCATCCACTTTTGCTTATAAGTTTCTGAAGTGTAAAGTGCCAGCACAGGACCACCATGTATATTTATTTTATTTTATTTTATTTATACCGCACCCATCTAGACCGAAGTCTACTTTGGGTGGCTACAAAAAATTACTAAAGTGAGTTATTCGGGTGGGAGAAGGTGTTCCGCTAGATATTGAGGTCCTAACCGTTTAGGGCTTTATATGTAACCATCAGCATTTTGAAATCAGTGCGGAAATGAATGGGCAGCCAATGCAAGGCAGCCAGAGTGGGGGAGATATGTTGATGTTTTCTCACCCCAGTGAGAGGTCTGGCCGCCACATTCTGCAGCTTTTGAAGCTTCCGCACCCACATCAGAGGTAGCCCCACATAGAGCGCATTACAGTAGTCTAATCTCGAGACTATATGGGAATAAAGGGATGGCTGTCACACATCCCTAGGAGGGATGTCATGTCACAATTTGAAAGGCTCAGACAGCATCCTGAATCCACTTTTATCACAATTTTTAAAATAACTCCATCCCCTAATATGAGAGTGGAATTAAGATACGCAGGTCATGTTTAGGACAAACTCTATTGTGAGGTTAAAAGTGATTTCGCCCTTCACACTCTGCTACTTCTACATCACTGAAGGTATGCAAGAACTGCTCAGCAACACACACACTGATTAAATGAACTTCCATGCGTGAGGATTGTCTAGCTTTCCACCCCTCTGATTGCATCAGAGACGATGTGTATAATTTGAGATCAAAAATATTCACCAGAACAGCCATATTTTATTTGTTTTTAAACTTCTATGGTATTAAACCTGATGTGTGTTTTCATGCCCTCCCTTTTGCCTCATAGGTTAACCTCAGATGCATAATGATACAATGAAAGTAGAAAAAAAACTTTTCATTCAGACATATGTATACATATAACCTTCCTTTTCTCAGGTTTTGGGCTAAGGGGGTAGGATAAGCTTCTGATAGTTCCCTTTTAAGAATCAATTTCCCATTGAACCAGGAAAAAGCCTAGGTGGTCTTGTTACACAAGGCACTTTAAGTACAAACGTAGAGCGATAAGGCCCTGGCAGAATGGAAATATGAACCCTTTTAAGGAGGAAGAAATTCAGAATGTCAGTCTGCCTTTTGACTCGTAATTTAATTCAGAAGTATTTGGCTTCTTCAATAATAATAATAATGATAGCTTTTCTGTGGGAAAAAAAAGCCTACTTGTGTACTATATTTTATGCTACTTTTTTCCTTGGCACACACTTGCATTTATCTACTATGAAATGCTGAACCTTCCTAAAAGGATGAATCATCTTTGCTTACGAGATGGCTGTACATTATCATGAGTGCCCACTTCAGAAAATCTACAAAAAATATTTTTTTTGTCTTTCAGTTCCTCCTTTATATCTGACAACTTGGTAATGATGGATCAGAATGGATATTTAATGGGAAAAAGTAACTCTGAAGATTATGATGATGATTCTGCTCTGGGGATGGGGGGGAGCAAAGACTCCCCCACCAGCCCCTGTCCAGTTTATAAAATCAGCGTTTAAAAATATACAAAATCTTAGTACACCGATACCGTCTGGCAATCTGGACTGCCAGGATGCCTTTACATCCTCAGATAAAAGAACTCCCAATATCTGACCTATACATGAGTTTGGAACACCTGATCCCATGGAGCAGGCCAGCACTCCCTGATCTGGTATCCTTCAGATGTTTAGGACTACCATTTCTGTAATTCCTGATCAGGGTTGATGGAGTTGTAATCCATATCTTTATTCTCATTGTCCCATGAGCAGGTAAGCTAATTGGTTGCCCTCTTGAGTACAGAACAGGACCTTTCATTTGGCGAAATAAGCAAAATTGCACAAATAATGCTTTAACCCTAACACCTTAAGAAATGTGCAGGATTATGATGGCTACTACTTTGTTGCATGGACCAGAAGCATTGGAGATGCGCTTTGCATCTTTTTGAACAAGCATCTAGTCCTTTCATGTCAATTGTTTATGTGTACTTTGACTTCTCAAAAAAAAAGGACTCCAGATTTGCATTGAAACAATGGGTAAAGGTAATTTATGCCACATGAGCGTTGATGTAATCAACTGCTGTGGTTTTCCTAGAAATTAAATGTTTCTGACGTCTCTCATAACATGACCAAGATTCCTGTTTAATCCCTTTTTATTGTCAGAAATTCCTGGAAGCTGTAGGATAAGAGGAGGAAGTCTCCAATTACACACACACACACACACACAGAGGAAAGACAACTGCTGTAAAGACTTCCCTCACCTGTCCCACAGCTTCCCAACAGTCCAAAGGGATTACATGGGAGCCCCAGGAACTACAGAAAAGAAGTCAGAAACATTTAATTCTTGAAAACATGCTGCTCCTGCTGCTGCTGTCAGCCTTGAGGACTGTAAATTACAGCAACGGGATTTCACCCTATTTGTGCAAAGCATGGAGAGCATGATAAGGAAAAAAGCACCAATGCTCCTTGTATTGTTGTCACCTTTCTGTAGGCAAGGAATCTCAAAAGACTTAAGCATTTCTCATTGAGGAGTGTCATTGTCAAAATAGGCTATGTCAATGAGAATAAAGAATTTAGCACACACTGTTTACATCCCTGTATCAAACCAATGTTACAATGTAAGTGCAAATACACCTTCACTGACTAGGCAGGTTGTTGCAGAGGCAATCGTTCCGTTAGGGTTGGTCCAAATGCTCACGGCAATCAAGGAGGTAGGTAATGATTAAAAACATAAGCAGTCTGTTGCCTAAGCTGGGTCAACACTTTGTGGTGAGGTGCTCCCCTTTGTTTAGATCACGAGCCTCGTTAACCTTTCAAAGATCAAAAGGTGGGGTGAATGCTCATTGTGATTAGGGAGACTTCTGCTTGGAGTCCTTCATGAAATTTAAGGAGAGAATTGAATAGTCTTCACTTTTTAGATCCGTTAAAAATTAAATAAAGCAAGGCACCGTGCTCAACGAATGGCTTGCAGTTGCTGCACATATATGTTGAGCATGGCATTGAGAAAAACTCTGCATGGTGATGCCATGTGTTTTTTTAGTGTCAGTATAAACTAAAGATGGCTTCCTTCATTTTCTGTACATCATCATTGAGAACCAGGGTAACATGATCTCCCCTACTGTGTTCTCCCCAGCACTGTTTTAAACAGGTTTTTGAAATAGCCTGCAGCCATTAAATGAGTGCAGTGGCTGATCTTTGTTTTTACAAAAGAAGAAAAGAAACAATGCAGAAAAGGTAGTAGTTCATACATAGTCTTGCTTTCAGGAAAATGATCAAAAGTCATGAAACCTTTCAGCAGTTTATCGACTTACATTGTAAAAAGTTAACTTATTCCCAATGTATATCATTTCTTTTCCATGCAAACTTGCCAACAAATCATTCAGACTGGAAATAACCAGACCTTTCCAAAACTATTGGCATAATGACAGCTTTCTAATGTCTGACTGAAACAATGTTTGCTGCTGTTACCCAGATTTCAGAATTTTAAATTGTGATGGTTAAAAGTGAAATTTATATGTAGTCTTCCTTCTAAAAGCTGTTCATCTAATTAAAATAACACTAGAGATTAAAAAGCTAACTTGTTGGTAAAGGTTTTCATATTATGCTGGTCTTTTAAAGAACCCCCTTGGGGCAGAGACACTGGATGTTGTTTTTTCTTCAAGGGAATGGTGGTTGTGCTTCCGGAATAGGTCATGTCCTTAAGATGGCTGCCTCCAGCTGCACACATATATTTTGCATTCTTGTCTTCTCTTGTTTTTCCTCATTTAGTCATTGTCATTTGCTTAAACTGTCTTCCCCTTGCTGATTAGTCTTGTACAGTAATTCATGCACATATGGTCATGTTTGTGGAGAAAACATTCCCTTCCGCATCCTCTACAAACCCTCCCACCTACTCCCAACCCATTCTGGCTTGGTTCTTATCAAATTACTGCAGACTTTAAAGACTTTAATTAAAGCACTCTGAATTAGAACAAGCCATGGGTCCAAGTTCTTCTCCAAGAAATCACTTACCCAGATGTTTGAGATGGTTGCTCTGGTTTTAAATCATGTCCCTGTGAAGTATCATCAATCTAAAGCCAATATTCTCTTTTTGTCCTCTCACAAATAACCACACAGCTGACATTTTAGAAGGTAGCCTTCATCACTTTGAACCATGTGCAACTCCCAGTTGTATTAATATGTTCGCTTCTGTTGGTCAGTTTTGGCAGGGTTGAGAGTAGATTGCCCTTGCAGATTCCTCTAGGTTTATAAAGTGCCCACATCCCAGTCCATAGATAATGGAGTGATTTGATACAGAACTGAGATATGATGTGCACATTTAATGAGTAGTATGACTGCTAACAGAAATCTGCTTCATTGTGACGGCAACTTTGCACAGCAGTATTAATTCAAGCACACCCCTGATTTGGCCTTGTAACACGATTGCCTCTTGTGGCTGCATTGTACATACACATGGCAGCAGCTGCTACTGGCTTTCAGACTAATGAAACAATGTGGGAGACTCGTATGTCCAGTGTGGTTGGGAACATCAATGCTTCCAAGTGGACCAGATTTTCATCAGCAGGCATGTCACAGCAACCAGGGGATAAACCAAATCTGCACTGAAATTAATATGAATCACCTCCTCATGCAGATTTTTTTTAAAAGGGGAGGGGAAGGAGGAGAGTTCAAACTATTCTCCAGTTGGTTCATATCAAGTCAGATATTTCCTTGTGTGTTTGTTGTCAAGGAGAATAGAGTACAAAAGGGTTTTGAAGTCATGGCAGATTACACAAGACAAGGTGATTGCACAAACGCTGGAATGAAACTGGTTGGCAGTAGATTAAGAAGAGAAGGAAGAAAATACTTCTTCATCAAGTGCGTCATTAATTTATGAAATTCAGGATCACAATTTGTGGCAGTGGCCATTAGCCTAGATCAGTGGTTCTTAACCTTGGGTTACTCAGGTGTTTTTGAACTGTAGCTCCCAGAAACCCCGGCCAGCACAGCTGGTGCTGAAGGCTTCTGGGAGTTGCAATCCAAAAACACTTGAGTAACCCAAGGTTAAGAACCACTGGCTTAGATGACTTTAAGATGTGATTGGATGCATGTACAGAGGAATGGCCCATCAACAACATCCAATTACATGGATGTCCTACCTCATCTCTGTATAAATAACCTTCTGGAAGCTGGTGAAGGCTCTTCCTTTTAGGAAAGCATTCTTCCGTTTTTCTGATGCTCTTCTGTGTGATGTTAGAACATATTTTAAGGCACTTTGCAAATTGGATAGATATCTAAAAATTATGAAAGGCAAAGTGGGAAAATACACCTAATTAACAAGCAATGTATCTCACCCATACCCAGTCATGTGATTGGTACATAATTAGCTGCAATTTGCTGCAACCACTCATGTTTACTTTGGGGTAAAATCCCAATATGAATTCTGATCATTAGGAAAGGAGCAGAGGACATGCTGGATGTTCACTAGCTTGTAGATAGCTCAGTCAGCTCATTGGGATGATTTAGCCAAATGATGCTTTCAGAAGGTCAAAGCTGCATGCTTTATTTGTGGGCTTTCTGAAAGCTTTTGTTTGCCCCCTTTCAAGAACCTGCTATTTCATTTTGTTAACTTTTTATATAGTTATCTTGAGATTACCGAGGATTAGTGACTGATTTCCAAAAGTTACAACTGCAACTTCTGTGTCATCAAAGCATGTTCCTATTCTATGTTCACTTCTGCAGGATGTCTGAAAATTGTCGTTTTAATGACATCTTATCTCCATAAGGGCCAAAATAGCTCTCTTTCTGTTCCTGACTAAGAATATCTAAATAAAATATTGGAAGAAAGCCATTTCTATGATCTACCAAATTATGATTTTTATTTTCTTTTGAAAAGAAATTCTGATGCAAAATGCTAAATTTGACAGTATTACTTCTGTTATGAAAATGTCTAAATAAATTTCAGTTTGAAATTACGGATTGATCTTAATTAAGGAACTTCACTTGTTTATGTGCGGCTCAGAGACTGGTTACACTTGCATTCTACGTTCAGCCTTGAGGGGCATTCTCACTTTTGTTTACTGGGATTCTTATTTTGAAATGAGCTATTTCAAGGTGGCTCCCTTACTTCGAAAACAATGTTTCTTTCCCAAGCTTTTATGCAATGTAACATGTAAGTCCCGACAGAAGAATAGGTGAATGAATTGCTACCAAGTGTTTTGAACAAATGTTCTCTTACCAACTGTGACATTTCTCTTGTCTTCTTCTCTCCCTTCCCCTGCCCCACCATTCTCTTCTAACAGCTATATCTGGTATGATAGTTCCCCCCATGTGAAAGAATTGCCTTGAAGAAGCAAACTAATAGAGAAGTTGGATTCTGCTTCAGAACAACGTTCGACACAAGTCCCAGCGTGGAACTTTTAACTCAGGCCTTTTTTTTAATAAAAAAGGGGTAAAAGGAAGAATCTCACAATAACTGCAAAGTTTTAAACAAAGTCAAAGAAAATCAATGTACCGTCCTTTCAAAATAATACTGAAATTCACCTGGAGCCTGCAAGTACAAGATGTTAATTTGAGCTGTCCATCCTGAGGAGCAAGATTTACAGGATGCCATGAAGAAAATCCAGTTATGTCCTTTTTTTGGTTTCAGTCTGACTCAGTTGCCATTTTGTCTTTTACAAATAGTAATAGGATGACAAGCACCATTGCTGAGCCCCACCTTGAGATTTTTAAAAGAAACCGTAATGAAGGGAGGTTAAGTGGCAGCGCTTAAGAATGAATTTCTATGGAACAGATGTTAGAAGTGCCAGTTAGAGGGTTGTTATTTTCCCTTAGAACAGTAATGGCTGTTCCAGTTCAGGGTTGGCTCATATGTGTAACTTATCCTCTGACAGTTCACTCTTCAAATGTTTTACATGTTAGGGAAAGGTGTGTCTGTGTGCGTGTGCAAGAACACACAGGGGCACATATAGATTACTCATTAAGACTCTGGTGTAGAAGCAGTGAGAATTTTTTTAAAAAAAAATCTGCACACCTGCCCCTTTTCTTAAAATATTGTGCTTAGGCGATTCTGTAAATAATGCAAGACAGAAAATTAGCAAACATGTAGCTAAGGGCATGTGTATCCCACCTTTACCTTGGTAAGCCAGTGCCTCTGAATGTCATTCTGAAAACTGCAGAATTCGAACAGCATGGCTCTCTGCCTTCCACGTCTGTCAGACTGTCCCAAATGAGCAGCCTTCTTAAATACAGTTTAACCCGTCCATGCATGCAGATCTTCTTTGGGATTTGAAAGGATAAGAAAAAGGCACAAGTGTGAGCTTGTTTAAGTTTGTGCATACCCTCAACAAAAATTTTGTAAGTTCCCTTCCCTTTTTTTTTTTTAAGTGGGGTCCAGGAGCAAATCCTGAACTAACCCTGCCATCTGAGAGAATAGCCTTGGTGTACGTACATGTGTGTAGATACACACGGACACACATAAGTATCCGTTCTGAGCTGCAGTTACTTCTCTTCTTTCACTCTGAAACATAATCAGCCCCTTAAGTAACAGGTAGTGGTGTTTTTGCTAGGAATATAATACACAAAAGGAGGGTGAAAAGACAGGAAAGTTGTGCAAAGGTTGTTAAATAAACCTTCATTTACAGGAATTTAGCTCTCATTACTTGGGAAGTGTTCTTAGTCAAAGATGCTTGCATTTCTAAGGTCAGGTTGCCGGATACAGTGGATTCCCATCCCCGTTTCCCATTGAGTTTTGTACGTAAATGAATACTGTAGATTTTTTCTTTTTTTGGCCAAAGTTAATGATCTATTTATACAATGTAATGTCTTAAGATAGTTTTCCAGTCTCACACACACACTCACACATAGGCAAAAGAAATACTGCATATTTTGCAAACCGAGCTCACTACCTTTAAGATTGCACATGCTTGCAAAATGAATTAAAGAGAAAAGAAGGTTTTTTTAAAAGAAGAATTTTGTAAAATATCCATATAAATAATGTATTTATCTTTGGAATTTGTACATTGCTTTTCCCCTTGCAACATCCCAGTTTATTTTATTGTGTATGTTTGCTATGTGAAAAGTGCTAATTTGTTTGGTCATTCACCGGTGTATTAGCTGTTTAAATGTGATTTTAATACAATTCATTTATAGCATTTTTTTAGTCATTGTTTTAAAAACATGCTTCCATTATTTTTGTTTTATTTTCACTCAAAAGCCATTGTCTATTTTTGTATTATTTGTAAGTTAAGAAGTTTTTCCCTCCCAATATATGGCAAAAAGTAGCATATTATTCTTGTAGCATTTAGTTATGTAGATTTTAAAAAAGTATTCTTTGCTTTTGAGGCTTATGAAAAAAAATCTAATGCTGTTTTACTCTATTAATATGCATGGAATCTCTCCCCTTTGGAGTGACGCATTTTTTGTGCATTAAACATGGGGAGAAACTTCATAGAAATCAATGAAAATACTTTCTTTCTTGTCTGCTTGTATATTTCCTCTGTCTTTCACATAAATATAAACCAGCAGATTGGATGCCTTAACAATGCAAATCATATTCATTTCACTTGTACATTGTACTGCGCACCAGAACTGTCAGTCATCACTTACATTTTAAGGAAACAAAAGGAATTTGAAAAGCACAAAAAGGACTGTTTTGTTACCTTAAGACAATGCGACTTTTTTCTAGATGAGCAACAATGCTGCAATCGTGCATGCGTCCTGTATGGATTTTGCAATGGATTTCACTCAGATGTCACTGTGTGATCATTTGGGAAGGGCGGGGGAGGGGTAGGAGGAGAGAGAAAAATCCCATAAGGTTCCCCCCCCCATGGAACCAGAAGAACACATTCACACCTAAAGAAACTGGAAAATATAAGGATCTCAATGTATTGCTTCTCTATAGTCCAAGCATTTATTCTAATTCACATACAGTAGTAAGCAATGGCACTGCAATGTAATCAAGTTTAAAGCCATATTTTGTCCAGTGATGCTCTCCACTTAACCCCATTCAGAAAACAATTGCACCTATTCAGACACTCATTTGAAGTCATACGCATATTTAGCCCTTTCCTTCAATGTCCAAAGAGCCTTTGACAATATATAGAATTTGTTTCTGTCTCCAAGTATTTATAGTGCGCTGGGGGGGGGGAGAATTAAATTTATATTTAAAAACAATCTCCTTACCCAAAATAGATCCTATGACTTTTACATGATTCTTAAAGACGTTGCTCTTCACAGAATATGGCTTTAAGTGGAAATTGTCATGTCTCAGTCTTTACCAAGTGAAGCCTGATGTTGGCTGGGCTGTGTGAAGGATGCCTATTTCCTCTCCATTATATCAGATTGCATCTAAAATTAAGTCATCTCTCAATCGACTAATCTTTCACCTTCTTAACTAAATCTTTTGGAATAGACACAAACACTGTACAGTTCTATTGTTAGAGAAAACTAACTACTGTAGAGATTGTTATAATTTTTTTGCAGAAATTCAAGCTGTAAAAACTTTTCAACTTTCACAATATTTAATTAAAGTTACTTCCTGTCTGTGAGTGCAGCTCCTGGATGTGTATTTATTCATTTGGCTCTGCTAAGCCGACAAAGACACTTGATAAGCCTTTTTTTTAAAAAAGGCAGCCAAATAAATCTGTCTTCTGTGTTCTTCGCCTGCAAAATGCAAAGCAACAAAAATGGTGTTCATGATGGGTGGCAGAAGAGAGAATAAGGCACTGTGGATCTCTTATGGCATACTCATATAAAGTAATAAACAAAGAAAAACATGTTTGTATTTCTAAGCATTTAAGCACAGTATTTTGTCTTTGCAGCTTCCAGGCTGTCTCCAGAACTAGGTTTCCTGGGAGACCGCAGTCTTTATGAAGGGTGCTGTTCTTTTATAGAGTCTTCCAAACTGCACCTCCCAAAAAGACCTAGGCCTGCCAGGAAACAATAGGTAGGAAGTAGGTCCAAGACAACTTGAGCCATTGTTCCAGGATAAGTGAAATATACTTATGAATTCAGGGACACCTGGAATTCTACCTGAGAAATTTTTTTTGAGAATTCTGGGAGTTGTAATCCCCCCTCCAAATACAGTATATATATATCAATCAATATATATTTGGAGGGGGAATTCCATATATATATGGCACAGTTTAGTAGACATTAGTCCAGCAGTTTTCTATACAGGAATGCTTTGCTTCCTGGGGAACCACATATATCTCAAAATAAGGCCCACCAACTGGCAGGGACAGGCAGCCCTGGAGTCATGCAGTTTAGTACAGTAGTACCTCTGTTTACGAATGCAATGCATTGTACAGGATGGTACATAATGCAAAAAAATTCGTAAACCCAAACATGTATTGCCATAGGAACAGGGGCAGTGCTATAAACCTCCAGGAACAATGCATCCTGGGAAAACTTCATCGTATGAAAAAAACATAAACCGGGGTATTATTTTCAATGGATTTCCATTCGTAAAACAAATACTAGATTAACCAAGGCATTCATAAACCAAGGTACTACTGTACTTCATCCCAGTTGCTGCCTACAAGTTCACCTCACCTCATCTGAGGACTGGCTCTGATTAGGATGGCCATTTACACATCATGGATAGAAGGAAAACATGGACTTTCATAAATTTTTGTGTGCTAATTTACGTGTACAAAAGATGCAACATTAGAAGTGATTTTAATAAATTTAAAATAGAACTGCAGTGCATTGACCCAAGGCTGGAAGGAGGCGATGTCTCCACACGCTGAGTCTGTTGTCCAGGTGGTGATCTTCCTCTTTATCATTCCTTATTTTTAAAACCTACTAGAGAGGACTGTCCACAAATAAAGAATATATTCCAAAGGAGCACTGCCCCCTGGGAGGCCTTTAAATTGAGGCTTGTCCTTGCTAAAAGAGGACACATGCCCCCAACCTACCAAGCAATTTCCATTCATAGGAAGTAAGTATATATGTATGTAAATCTCCAATTTTTTTAAAAAAAACACAAAAAACAGTGAGCTAATACAGTCCTAGGTAGGGAAGTATAGACTTGAGAAATTTTAATATTCGCCTACAGAAGATTTATTTTATTTATCATAGTTCATATTAAATTTTAATCCACTCCTCGTCTGCTGCTTTTCAACTAATCCTTGTAAGACTGGTGTGTTTTTTTTGTTCATCTGTGAATGGCCAGTAATGACAAGTAGAGGACACCAAATTGCATTCATTTTTGCCTCATTATCTAAATCTAAAGATTGGGGTGGGAGGAATTGCAGTAGAGATACAATATAGTGACTCTTATAAGAAACAAATTCTGACATACAAAATTACAACAGCAATATAATGATGTGCTGTTAAAAGGAGCCACATAATATAATTGCAAATGGAATGAAAATAATAAAAAGGTTAATACTATGGAACAATGGGTGTTGCAGGAACAAAAGGCTTTAGTTGTTTCAATATAGTTTTGTATCTGTACAACAGAGCAAAATAATGTATTTAAATGGAGTACAGGACTCAGTTACTGCAGATGTATTGGGTTGCTGTTGTTCAAGACAGTTCTGAAGAGGTTTGTTCACCCATTAATAATGAATTTTCTTTCAAAGGTTGAGCAGCCATTTAGCACATTGTGAATGCTTCCTCCTCTGCCAGCACCTTCCCATTCCTAAGTGAATGCAAAAGACTTGGCCTAGAATAGGCTTTTAGTCCCTCTTGTGGCAGTTACTATTATAACACATGGCTATTTAAGGAGTGAGAATTTAAGCTGCAGTCTGTATTGATATCTACACCCTTTTACACATGAAAGAATTCCTCGACTGGACAAAAGTCAGGGTACCCAAATGGGCAGATGTTGTGAGAATTCCACAGTGCTCAGTGAATCCAACTCCTAGACAAGTCTGTCTAGTATTTTAGTCATAGCTTTAGCTTTACTGTAATTAAAAAAAATAAAAATCTGTAATTACTCAAATAATTTTTTTTTAGTTCCAGGGCCTTCAGAATGTGAAAAATATTTGGGCTATGTAGTGCTGGATG